GCTCCGACCGGTTTTAAAGGGTTAATCTTTAAATATCAACGTTGGCATGAGTACAGGTATGGTACAGGGAATGTTTGTTTAGTTTGAAAGAGACAGGAGTGAAAAAGTAAAAACCACAAGTCTTGTTATTTTTTTTATTTTTTATTTTTTAAAGCTTTTATTAAAACAAAATCACGTCACGTGATCATTTGTTTGGTTTAATGCATTTTGAGTTCAGTTTGTGAGAGTCATACAGGCTGCTGGTCGGCTGCAGGTTCATGGTGTTAAGCGTTTGTGTGATTTTTCGTAGCTCTGTAATAGCGGCGTCCTTTTTCTTCCACAGAACGTCGTCCTGTCGGGAGGCTCCACCATGTTCAGGGACTTTGGGCGCCGTCTGCAGAGAGACTTAAAGAGGACGGTCGATGCCCGCCTGAAGATGAGTGAGGAGCTGAGCGGAGGCAAGCTCAAGGTGAGCAGAAAAAATGTATTTACACTGGGCACAGATCGATAGTTCTCAAGCAGCTAAATTACAAAACGGCACACAGGTTTATTGAAAGTAGATGAACTGATTTCAACAGCAAATTTCTCCCTATAAAAATCTAATGAGGCTTAAAAAGATTTGAAATATTTCAGGCTCAGGTATGCAGGGCAGTTTTTTTTTATAGCTCCATAGATGCTCAGGTCATAAAGGTGATTCGTTACGAGCGGACCTGCAGCTGTAAATCTACCTCAGACGGTAGAGGAGCAGCAAGCAGCGACTGCAGCTAATTTAAGGCGGACCAGAATGTTCTGAACCTCAGAATAAATCTCCTCGGTGTGCGTAAGTAGAGCAGGAGCAGGGTCAGGTTTAGCAGAAATGTCCAGAACCTTCTTTAAACACTTATTTAAATCACATGCAGATTAACTTTTAAGATTTAAGTAATACCAACCTCCTAACTGTTGATTCAGGTTTCTCTTACTGTTCTAAAAGCTTTCCAACAACTGTTGGAGTTTTTCAGTCATGCCAGCTCACGTGACCACAGTCTACACTTAAGTGAATAAATGTGCTGATATCAGAGCGATCCGTCTCTAATTTTAACGTCTTGCAAACTTGTTTGTTAAGTATAATTTTGCACCGTCCTGGACAGCTGGTGGGATCAGGCTTTGTGAGTCAGGATTAGAGAGATATCAGATCAGCAAACTCTTCCTTTTACTCATCTGTGACAAGGTACTCCTGACTCTCTTCTCCATCCACCCCGCCTCAGCTGGACTCTGTTCTTCTCCTCTTCTGTGAACCCTCACAGCTATGTGTCATTAAAAGGTGGAATTCCAATTACATTCAAGGAAAACAGGATAGGATCTTCTTGGCCTTGATTTTGTGAAGTTGTTTCAGTTTGATGTCACTCGCTCGATGTCGTTATCCCACATTTATTTATATTAAGATATAGTTGACACACTAGGGGGCACCAGCAATCACAGGTTGTATGTAGATGTTGTCATCACCTGGTTTTGTCTTTGGTTTATTAAGCTCCAAAAACAAAGTCTTAAACACTGA